AGCGCTGGGTCAGGTCGGGTCGGGCTGCTGGGACCTGCTCTCCGTTCAGGTAGGCAGGGCTCCCACCCTCCCCGTCCGTGGGGACCCCTCGGGCTCCCTTGGAAGGACGCCGAGCCCCGCTCGTGGGAGGGCAGTGACTGTGCCGGCGTGGGAAGTTCCCCCGGTAACCTCTCTGCTCTCCCTAGGTGCAAAGATGGGGGGCTTCACTTTTATCAAGGTCATGATGATCCTTTTCAACCTGATCATCTTCGTAAGTGCACCGTACCTGCAGTCGCCGGGGGGCTGTGGGAGTGAGTTGTGGGGAGCGTCCTGAGTTGGATGTAGTGTACCTGGCTGGGCTCTCCTGCCCCTCCGTGTTCCTTTCTGTGAGGAATGGGTTGGGGGGTTTGGGCAAGTGGGTGTAGGTGTGACTTGTGCCCGTGGGACCCCAGTGGGATGCGAGATCTGGTCTCTAGCCCTAAACAGAGAGATAAAGCCCTGGGTTTGTGGGGTGTCTCGCTCCAGTGGCCAAAGCCCAGGGGAATGTGCTGGGCTCTGGGGGCAGTGGCTGTTGCATCAGCTGCCCATGTCCTTCGCTGTGCTGAAGCTCTGGGAAGGGTTGGTGCGTGCCCCAGAGCAGGGGGGTTTGTTGGGTTTGCCTGTGGGGCTCCATCTCTGTAGGGGAGCAGCCCATGTGTGTGATTGTTCGTGTTGTTTGGGCTCTTGGATATTGGGGATATCCAGAGCACACACAGCCTCTGCTCACCCAGGGCAAAGCATAATGAACCCCAGAGAGCTGCCCCGACTTTGCAGGAGCAATGGGCCCACCTGGAAGGGGGTGCGGTGGGATAAAACCTTGGGAAGAAGTGAGAGTCTCGAGGCTCACCCTGGTGAAAGACTTGCTCCTTAAAGCTCCTGCCAGGATTTGAGGGTGGTGGGGAAGGTCGAGTGGATGGAGGGCAGAGCTGGGACAGGCTGGAAGCAGCCCAGAGCTGACCTTGCCAGGAGAATGTGAGTGTCTGGGGGCTTCTCTGCTGCTCCTCCAGGAGGGTGGGCAGCTGCCCTGGATGGAGGAACTTGTGGCAACACGATGGTGGCTAGTGTCTGAGCTGGCCATGTAAGCCCCTCTGGGGCCATGGGGGGCTGGTGGCACTGCTGGCTTGTCTGCCCTGCATGGGGCTTTCTGCCCTGTGGCTGACACTGAAACTCCTTGGGCTGGGCAAGGAGGTAGCTGTGACACTGCAGCTGGGGATGTGCTGGTGGTGGGTTGTGTTTTAGGGTAGTGACCCATCTGGCTGCCCTCAGTGTGCACTGGCAGTACCCTGAGCTGTCCTCAGTGTCACAAGGTCTTGCTTTGGTATGGTGAAAATTGCAGAGGGGAGAAGTACCTGTGCCAGGACCTTCCCCAAATCCCTAATCTGTTGCCTGCTGGAAGCTGACATTGTCTTTCTCCTCCCAGCTCAGTGGTGGGACCCTCCTAGGAGTTGGCATCTGGGTCACAGTGGATGAACCATCATTCCTGAATATATTTGGGGCCCTCTCCTCTAGCATCCTACAGGTTGTGAATGTGAGCTATGTTCTCATCGCCATTGGCGCCGTCCTGCTGGTGATCGGCTTCCTTGGGTGCTACGGTGCCCAGAAGGAGAGCAAGTGCCTCCTGATGATGGTATGGATCTGACTTACTTCCCTATCAAGCATCATTTGAGCTGGGTCTGTGGTGGGAGAGATCTGATAGATTTCTCTGAGATGTGTTCTGTGGATGTTTCCATGTGGTGGCAGTCTGGGCGGACCTTGGAAAGGCAGTGCTGGACTCAAAGTCTGCCCTTGGAAA